GAGAGATCTCCTTTCTCTCTTCTTAACGCGTGCGTTACGTATTTGAATTTGAATTTATCACGCTATTAAGTTACGCGTTACAAACACTGGTGTTCTATTACGTAGTGACCGTTTGTAATAGGGGTGTATTCAGTTACGATTATTACCGTCCAGTGTTAATATGATTAATCAAATTCACCTTAGGGCTCTATATGGAACTTAAGGTGAATTTGATTAACCATATTAACTCTGGACGGTTGAATATTACTGACGTAAGGAGCATCGCGCGGTCACGTTGTTGTTGGTATAGTACAAACAAAGTCAAGTACGGAACGGCCGTTAAAGAAGTAACGCTCATAGGCTATTCAAACCGTTTGACCTTTGGAATGAAAACGTCTGCATTACAACAGCGAACGAAGGAACACGGACACAAGATAAGTAAACAAGTATAACGTTAATTTAATTCCAATAATCGAAAGGAAAAAAATATATATAGAAATCCAACCACATTCGGTGTCCTAGTGCCCTTGGTTTTACCGATTTAGCATTACCAAGCCGGGCTCCCTGTGACTCGGCTCAAAGTGTTGGCATCTCCTTTCAGATAATTAAAAATCAACCACACCCTAAATCCATTGTTTGATGTAGGTTCCTAAATTCTTTGGAAAACCCAGATTCTTAAAGCCGGGGACGGAATGATATCAACAGGGGAGAACGGGCCTGAATTATAAACCCGGGATAGGTTTTTAATTACATGGATATATTGTAAGCACTCTATTTCCAAAAGAACAAAGCAACAGTAATCTACCTCTCTGAATTSAATATAATTAAGTATTTCGTGTTTTGCATGGTAACAATGGAATTTAGAGCTTAGTTGCTATTTTAAACCAGTTCAAACGCACGGGCTCGGTCTTCAATTCTAATGCAAAACCTCGCCCTAGCGTTTSATCCTTTATTTAAAATCCGTCACGGATCTCAGACCAATCTTGGCTACAATGTCATAGTATAGAAAAGGAAAAACCACTCGATGCTATAAACCAACCCTACGCTGTTGTAGTGGCACGATAGTTGGTCTTTTGATCGAATACTCTTTACATAGACACTTTGTACGCGGTCAATCCTTTATCCTTGGATGCACCTCGCAGTATAATGATAACTTTTCACCGAAAAGTGTAGTTTGTGTGGCATCGATAATAAAAACAACAATAATAATAATWAAAATAATACAAACAAACACGGGATGCGGCAATGTCAGGGTTTAGAATGTTAGTTATCTATTTTATATTCTCATCAAAATATTTTGGAATAAATTAGATAAAATTCAAAAGGAAACAAAGCAAATTATGTGTACCCAAGTTTTAAAAACTACTAATGTTTTCCGGCACACGAAAATGTTTCAGGTCAAAGGATGCTATGAAGATAAGAGATAACTTAGCTATACAAGGAAGTAACTGATACTGTTTTCAAGCAAGCGCAAATTACTAGAAGTCAAGAAACTAAAACTTGTTTATCCAAGGGCGCCAGGATAGACGGATTGGGTTTTAGATGTATGTGTGATTGTTTCAGTTATTCTAATTGAATTGATATATGTTTGTTTCTAATTGGATACTAGATAGTGTTCACTTATATTTAAAAATAAACGTCCTTTCCAACCAACGGTCAATCAGAAAGACCGTTGGTTGGAAAGGACGTTTATTTTCAAAGATAAGTGAACAGTATTTAGTATCCATTTAGAAACAAACATATATCAATTCAATCCGAATATATGAAAAAACCAAATCCGTCTGTCCTGGCGCCCTTGGTTTATCGAAGTATTATGATCATCCGGGTGGATGTAACCCTGGGAAGGACTGTTTGATGGGACTGACGTTTCGACAACCTGAGCGGAAGTCATCTTCRGAGTCAAGTGAAGAATAAGTCAGATTGGTCATATTTATACTGCCACGATAACAATAGCCTAATTACCTGGATTTGCATAATTGGCGSCGTCGGCCTAATGAGTGTGCGTCGCTGTTGTGGTTTTCGGTGTTGTGGGCGGAGTTATCGTTTTTGATAAGCCTACTAAGTTAATTTAGCGGTTTAGTGGATGTTGCTCAAACTTGGTAAACCAACTCTCCAGTACAAGTCGTCGCTGCCTATTGTTGCAAAAAGAAAAGCATTCACTGGATTCCCAGTTTATCGTATGACCAGTCWTGGTATGATGCGTGGCAATGTTATTATGATCATCCTGTTTTTCAACAGCACTTTGATGTTCTTTACGTCTGATATTMAACGATCTAGCTGTCTCACCAATATATGTTGCTTCACATTTATTACATGAATTTTTTATAAATACTAAAACGTATATRACACAAAGATTTAGATTAAGTAAAATTTCAGTAACAGAAATCATCTAATCGACTGCGCAATTAGTCTGCGTGCAGACCGAATTKAACTCCCGTTAAGACGTAGACCTCTGGTAAGCAGTTTGCTAAATTTTTCTAATCATATTATCAGTAAATTCTTTTACAAACCTACATTCATCCAGCATTCTCTTTTCACGATCTAAGAGGCAGGATCAGTTACTTCCTCGTTAATAGCTAAATTATTTCTTATCTTCGCCTATACACGAGTTAAAAAGGCTTCAAATTGGGTCCATACGTATCCGGAAATTTTTGCATCCGCAAATTTTTTTTTCGGATACGGGTTGCGTCCACGCGTGTCCGGAAATGTTAGTATCCGTATCCGGAAATTTTCAAATACGGTCTCCAGAGTGGAAATTTTCGAATACGCTCCGCTCCGGTGTGGACGGTCGTATGCGCAAATTTTGGAATACGCTGAAGTCACACCATCGGATCCAGTGTTCCTCAAGTGATATAAACAAGCATGGCGTATCCAAAATTGTAGCTTCGCTTCTCGTTGTGCTTATTTTGAGCATGATTTCATTTTCAGTTGCTTTGGACTTTTTTTCTGCACTTTTGAAGAGTTTCAAAGATTCTCACATGCCAAAGCAGGATTTTGCGCGTGCTCAATAAGAAAAACTGTCCTTCAAAGGGACTAGGCACTAGCGTGCATCAGGGCAGATCAAGAAATTTCCGGATACGTGTGGACAGTGAAAACGATTCGAATACGCTGCGTGTGGCCGCGAACATTTTCGTATCCGCAAAAAAAATTTCCGGATACGTGTGGACAGTGAAAACGATTCGAATACGCTGCGTGTGGCCGCGAACATTTTCGTATCCGCAAAAAAAATTTCCGGATACGTGTGGACAGGGCCTAAATATCTCAAAAAGTACTGGGGCTTTGGATTCCCCTCCTTCAAATCAGTTTTCACTACCGTCATGCTTCGCGCGCCGTGTCCAACCTCCCCGGATTTTAGATTTGTTGTTCCTTGTTTCTCCATGCTCAAAACTGAAACGCTGAATAACGATGGCAACATTCAAAATTTAAGTGAGAGTGCAAAACCCMATTTTACATGGCACGTTATTAGTTTTGCACAGAAGCTTTATTATTCTGCTCACTCAGACAATAGACCTTTCCCGAATTCGCTTGACTGATCACGAAACAATCGTTTCAAGTCGAGKTCGAACTTGATGAGTAAAAGAATCAAGTTGAGTCTTCAAACCATTGTTTCGTGGTCATCCAAGAAAATTCGTGAAAGGTCTATTTGACTACTGGTGACTCTTCTTATCTCACCGAATGACAATCAGTAAGTCTGAGCCATCTTTCCTCCGATTGGCAAGGGCGAAAATTGTCCTTCACTTTCGGTCTAAACACCTCCCCTGTGGTTATTAGAATAGCTACTAATCTTCGTTCGGCCAAAGCCAGCAAAGACAGTAACCAAGGGAAATAAAGAGAATGCTCGTATTCTATCCGTCAATTTAAACGCACGCGTGTTCGTTGTAACAGAGGACGATACTCCGTGGTAAAGAAGTGCGTAGAGAAAGTAACAGGAAAAGAAAGTGCAGCAAAGTTGATAAAGAAAAGACTTACGTCTTTAGAAGACGTAGAACGAGAGGTCAATATCCTTAAGAAACTCAAACATCCACATCTGTGCTCGTTTATTGATACCTATGATACGCCTAAGAACTACCTGATAGTCTTGGGACTTCTGTCTGGCGGTCGACTGTTTGATCATCTTGTTGTGATGGATAACCTAACAGAAAAAGCATCTATTGGTTACATTCATGAAATCCTAGAGGGAGTACAGCACTTACATGATTTGAATATCGTTCACCTCGACTTGAAGGTACGTCAAACGAGCAACCAACAACATTACGCCCCAAAAGCGCAGTGCGGCAATGTTTTTAATACCTGCCACTCCTCCTTGAGGGAAACAATTTCCTACTGTCGATAGAAATATTTAAAAGTAAACTATGAGATATAATTACAGGCGTGTAACTTGTTTCACTCTTCAGCCTCAAAATTTTCTTTTGGATGGCGGACCCTTATCAAAAGTCAAAATTATCGACTTTGGAAGTGCCAGAGAGCYGACGGGACAACCAACCACATACTCTATCTGTGGCAGCCCTGAATTTTCAGGTACGGCTTAGCATGCGCACTTGTTAGTCAACTAAATAAATAGTTCTAGTTTCGCTATGATGCCCCCGCTGTGATTTAAGAACTGAACTGAGATACTGTTAGGAATCGGAAATTTATTCTGAAATTATGCATATTTTATTACTTTATAAAAGGTGTTTTGTCACATTGAAAGTTACGAGTTTCCCGCTAAAACACTAGGCTTTATGCGTCTTGCGTTACTCCTCATTTTGACGTTGTGACGGAGCTGATATGACAATCAGTCGTGTAGAGAAGAGATCGTCTATTTATTCCCTATTATTTATTTATACGGCCAAATTAGTGGATTACAAATATATTGATATACTAATTCGTTTAGAAATAATCTTCAACCGGCTTTTCTTTATTCTCTGAATTACCGATCATTTGGGTACTGGAGCAAATATTAGACTCTTCCCAAATATTAGACTCTTCCACAGCCCCTTGCTCGGCCGGCACACTCTACATGTTATGCAGCGGCCAAGCGAGAGACTGTAGAATCTAGAGTCTAGAGCACATCTTAGCCCTGCAATTCCTAACACTGAAATATGTGATTTATTAGAGACGAAGAATATATCTTTGAGTGTGACTAAGTATTTCATTTCAGTCTATATAAATGGCACAAGTTGCTGAGTTTTAGTCTCTTTTGCAGCCGTTCTTTGTGTTGTTTTGAAAATCCCTCCCCACTAACGTCTGCTCAATGGAGCACTACATCCCTTTCCCATTGTTCTGTCAGTCGAAAAATCTTTTAGCCAATACAATTTTAGCAATTGTCCTGCAATCACTACGTAGGTTATATGTAGTGTCTATTCTGGTCAAGAAAGGGTTTTTTCCTCGCAAATATTTAATGTGACAATAATATCGATAAATAGTAAAATGGACAAAAGCTTTTTTTGGAAGTCGACTTGCTTGTCGTTTGCTAAAATCATTTGAAATCGACGTATCAACAATATTTCAACGCTTCGAGTGTTATATTTATATGTATAAGAATTTTTTTAAGCGATTACTGAAGCTTAAAAAGCTTCAAAACGAGCTGAACAGTTTTAATCGAAGTTTTATAGATACATTAATTCCCAAAAATACGAACTAATAAAAGAGATTGCGATCGAATCCTGAAGATCAGAACATAACTTCAATGCAACGACTCAAAAGTGTCACTGATCACCTGTCGTGAAATTGCTTTCGGAGTATATATATAGTACTATATACTTTTTCAACTATATATTTGCTCTTTGGTGGATACGGTAAACATTTCAAGAACATTTGGAGTATAAGTTTTAAGGAACCAGGAAGCTACATTTATTGTTCATACATAGTGYTCACTCACGGCCATCCAATGATGATTGCAAATTSGAGTGTCTTTATCTCAAGAAACTTGTAATTAAAAAGGTTCTTCGCCTCGTTTGACTTGTTTGTAGTGAAGCTTCCAACGTGTYCAAGGAAATAACCCTCATCATTAGGCCAAGAGAATCGGGCGTTGTTAAATATCAGTTTCCAAGCACTTTTCGACGGAAATGCAAGACCAAGGCGCCGATTTCTTGTGTGTTTTTAATGTCAGTTGGCTAAAAATACAACATGATTACTATTTTAGCGAATCAGGAATAAGCTCCGAGATTATAGTAGATTAACTGTGATTGGCTAGAGAATTGGAAAGGAATGTAGTTCTCCATTGAGCAGACGTTAGTGGGGAGGGGAGCGTTCGGATCGACACGATATACAATGCCCCATACATTCCTTTGTAATAAGGTGTAAGTACTTTGCTTGAGCTTTTTTTCTGTATACGACATACTTATAAACATACGCAGGGACTCCAAGATATGCCTACTCGGGTTTTGGCTACCTTGCGGAACAATTATTTTATTTTATTTTTTATTTCTTAACCCATCAGCGCCAGAGCTAATTAACGGCGAGCCAGTAACCTATAAAATGGATATGTGGTAAGTATTGCTAATAGATCTTTTTTAAAGTAGTGTTTAAGAAACGAGCARGAGTGTCTTTATCAAAGTGTGTTTTCTAGTTGACAGGGGGCGATTCATGATAACCCTTGTTTTATTAATTAATGAGCCTCGTAACATCTTAAGTAAGATAAAATAAATTCAAATATTAATCTCTATTAGTAAGGCGCCGTTTGGCACGAATAAAAATGATGAACTGTCAAAACAGAACAAAATTACGCAATCAACGATAAGCTCCGTTATATTCTTTCCAATATCCCGCGACCAACTGATGAACACGGAGTCTTATATGTTTGTCGCTACTCGTAGAAATTTGAATTTATCTTTGATTCTATTAACGGAAAACTCAAATATATAAATATATCGATATATAAATTAATCAGCATATTTCCAAATACTTTTAATATATCATGTTGCACTTGGTATTATAGCGGGGCTCCCGCGGCCCGCGTGAGCGGAGCACCATACTTAAGAAAAAATGGTAAACCATCGAGTTGATTTTTCATGGCTTGGCTGACGTCACTTCCGTCCGTCCGTCCGTCCGTGTATACAACACAGGGATCCCGCTTTATGTCAAAGCAAAACTACTCACAAATGCGGCTCTCAAATGCATAGAAAAGAATCGCTTTAGGACGATAGGGACAAGTTATAGACCAAAAACAATTAAAAAAAACTTTCATGTAGTCAAAGATGGATCAAGAAGTGTTCTTCAAGAATTCAGGTGTGTGTTTTTTAGCAAACAATCGTATATTATCATTTTTTTGACGAATCGACAAATGAAAGACTTTTTCTCAAAACGTTTTATATTTCTATAGAGAAGCTTAATTTATTTCAGTGCTGGAGGAAAAATAACACGGAGAGCATATTACGACARCAAATATTCGTCCTTTATTTAGCTTTGTAAATCTTTAACAATTCGGTTGTTTTTAACCTACTATCGTATGTTTTTCGTTCAAGAAAAATGCGGCTTTGTTCGCCTCCTATCGCGGGGTTCCATCGGCAAAACAAAGAAGACTTTCATTCAATAATTTTATATCTTTCTGCAGATAAGTTATTTATTTATTGAATGAAATATAAATTTACACCAAATATTCAACTGTTTATTAAGCTGTTCGAACAAGTATGATTATAAAAATGAGCTTAAATTTGTGTTGTTGAGAGATGTTATTGTATAAAGACCTAGAATTTCACTTTAAAAAGCTAAAAAATATTCAAAACATTTACAAACGCCAATTTACTGACAAGAAATTCATCATTTTGTATATTGCATTGCCTTTTGCATTATTTTCTATTTTACAAAATATTTGAACTATTTGAAACAAATTTTATTGATTTTTACGAAGTTCCTCTTACATTATTTTTTTATTTTTTTCGTTAAATAGAAGAGTACGCTACGAGGTTTAAATATTGTTACTTTCACCTGGGTTCCTGAGTTATGATTTTTTAAATTAACATTTTGGATGGCATAAGAAGGGTTCTGATGTTATCATAGTAACGTCTTACGTCATTATTTCATGCTATTTGTGATCTTTGTTTTATATTATGGTCTTTGGCTTTCCTKATTTACTTGTTGTCATTATATCCAAATAAATCTTCTTTAGTTCATAATTGTGAGTGTGAAGGCACAAAATACTTTCGAACCTCCTTAAGCAATTAATTTTTAACCTTACTTTGTACAGTACTTACAGGCCCTGTTACAATAGAAGATAAGTAAGACCAAATAAGTAACTTTCTGGGTTTTGCATATCATTTGATATCTTGCATCTCGTACGATATTTGTATACATGTATACTATATGTAGTGTTTAAAAAACGAGTAGGAGTGTTTTATCAGGTATAAAAGTACGAGGTGTAGCCGAGCACATGAAAGTCCTCTCCTTTGTAGATCCAGCAATACCCATTTACTACCACAGACTTTTCAGAAAGAGCGGTTATGTGTATATCACAGGTGTGCCACGTAAAATGCCTTTGGTTTTTTCGTTTTCCTCCTCTCGCGAAAAGTGCATTCTTGCGCAAGAGTACCCATATATGGATTTGAAGACTTTCTAGGATTGTAGTTCACATATTTATTAGTATTAATACAGCTACTCAGTCGGCAGTATTCTGGCTTCAATCGCGTGGGCTATTAGAGCCTAAAGGAGTTTTTTGTTAATAAGGCAYATCATGAATATATCGTTTAATTTTACACGGTAATCAGAGCTGGTAACTTTGGCTGTAAACACTTTTCGCTAAATTTTGAATCCTTTTGTTAACCGAGTTTCACAGTTCAACTTCGCAGGTTTGGATATTTGAAAAGACAATATTTGAAGAATATAATAGATAATGGAGAGATCGAAAACTTCAGAACGGTTTGCGAAAAACAAATAACCGTTTAAACATATTTCTAAACGAATTTTTGTCGCTTATTTGGCCTATACACGAATTCCCTATTAATCAACCCAGACAAGACAAAGCTGTTACTCGTGGGTGTCCCGCAACTCACAAGAAGTATATAAGCCTTACCACTTGTAATGCTGCTAGGAGAGCAGGTGAAGCCTGCTAGTGTCGCAAAAGATTCACCTTAATTACAATGAACACACTACAAAATCTGTCTCGACTTGCATGTATATGCTAAGTCGAGTTAATAGGATAAAGCACCTTCTGGACAATAAAACTCTTATTTTCTTAATAAATGCTTTCGTTTTTAGTAAATTATACTACTTTTGTACTGTCCGGAGCAACACGACCAAAGAGAATATAAGAAAGCTCCAATTAGTTCAAAATTTTGCATGTAGGATTGTCTTAGGTTTGAAAAAGTTTGACCATATTACTGAAGGCCTCAAATCTTTGAATTGGCTAAGTGTGAAAGATAAATTGCTTTTTAACGATTTAGTAATGGTTCGTAAATGTCTACATGGACAAATGCCGAGTTATCTAAGTGATAAATTTATAAAACGCTAAAAAATACACGGCAGAAATACTAGAAAAAGAGATGAATTAAATCTACCAAAATGCAGATTAAAAACCGGACAGCGATCATTTGCCTTTCGAGGTGCTAAGTCGTATAATGATCTCCCAAATGATGTTAAGCAAATTAGTGACACAAAACATTTTAAGAAGAACTTATTTAACTATTTATTGAACTTGTAGAGATTTCCCCTTTTATTAATTACCATTGTACTTRAAACAAATTTATTCTTATAATAGTATTTTATAATTATTTTTTTGCTTATTTTTAGTATTTTTTAGTATTTATAGCGGAAGAGCCCCTTTGTGAGCTATAATAATAAAGTATGTATGTATGTATGTATGTA